CGGGGTATGTGTTGTATTTGATTTTAGCCTCCCACCGTGGGTCAACCCGCCATATCACCAAATACTCAAATCCTATTTTTGCACCAAATTTTTTGGTGAAGGAATTTTCATCTCCCACCGGTCCACCATTTACCTATTTTTTTCCACCAAATCCTATTTTTCCTACCAAATATAGAGGTGAAAATAGGATTTGCCGTAATTAACACCATTTTATTAAGTATCATATAAAATGAGGATTTTAACTAATTGCACCCGATTACCAACTTATTAGCATATTTATCGCAAATACATTAGTATAAATTATTAAATTAGTATTTAAAATATAAATACATTTGTTATTATTAATAAAATATTAATTCTAATAATATAAATATGCTTATTTTTAATTAATTTGTATATTTTGTTGGTATCAATGTTTATTAATTCATTTCTTTACTTAACTAATACGCTACATGCTATTAATTAAATATAATCAACAATAATAAAATGATTAACGAAACACACTTTAATTGATTGAAATACAGGACGAGACACTTATAGACATTTAATAGAATGATAACATGATTTTTAAATTATATAGTTAAGAAAATTTATTACTTACTATTGGATCTATAATTAATATTTAGGAAATAAAATATTATAAAATTACGATTAACATTAGATTTACATTTTAGGGCATATATGGTGAAATGCCATGGAAGACCAAACCAAATCCCATTCCCTATAAGTGGTGAAATGGTGAAATATTATTATTTTAATATTTGGTCTAAATTTTGGTGAAATCCATTGGAGACCAAAAACACCATTTTTCCACCAAAATTTGTGGAAGAGTAAAATGGTGTGCTGCCGGTGGGAGATGAACTCATTTTTTCACCACCATAAATGGGATTTGGTGAAAAAATTGCGAGACCGGTCGAAGATGCTCTTAGTCCCCTATTTCCACAATTTGTAACAAGATTTGAATTCTTTAAAAAAAAATTAAAAAGAAAAAAAAAACACCATTATCATAGTGATTTTTGGTGAGAGTTTGGGAGGTTGGAATCCCCTTAAGTGCTTATGTTTGTAAGGTCATATTATAAGATCAATTTAAAAGAAATACAAAAGAAATCAATAATGAAGTATACATATTTTTTAAAAGCAAACCCAAAATCGAGATTGATGATAATAATATAAGTTTAAGTTGGTTAAGGGTCAAACTGGCCATAATCTAAATAATTAGATTCAAGTTGGCTCATGTTAAGAGGTTTAGACATGAGAATATATTTTTTTCATATAAATACATAATTTTTACAATCAAATGTACACAATTCATAATTCCCAAGCAACCTCTTGAACTCTTTGATTTTCTTTCACCATCTTGAGCTGACTTGAAGATCAAAGGATTTTCGTTGGGACTGAATCCTGACGTCCTTACGACTTTTTGTGACATAGATAATGCCCACACGAGGAATCAAGAAGTGTGAGAGAGGAGTTACAAGACATGACGTGGAATCGCACCATATCATTTTGGTGTCGTCTGTGGAAAAACACTGAGTTCCACTCATGTAGAACAGATCAAGTTTGCAATGGCGAAAGAACAAAAGAAGTATCACTTCAGAATTCACCTCGCAAAGTAAAGATTAGAGGCCAGTTCTAGCCAATTCATTCCACATGCGAATCACCAAGTGATCACCCGATTTGTACATTTTCCCCCACCGCACAGATCGAAAAAGTCTTAAAGGAAGTCGAACACTCCAGAAAAGTCGGTAACGAGACTATAGGTTCAACCTTGAAGTCGGTCAATAAATCATGCTCAATCTAAAAAAGTTCAACAGTCCACCTCAGAGAAGCCCCAACCCAAAGTTGTGGCGATTCTTTGATCACATCGACGAGTCCACCAATGGCGACTCCTCGGTCTAAATCTATGACGGCTCTTTGATGCATGCCTTCTAGCCGCCGCCACCTCCTCATTGAACTGCTTCGTTATACATTGTTGTCATTCTATAATTTGCCATCTCTTTGCAGGTCTTTCCTTTTGAATTATCACTACTCAAGACACCATCAACAAAGCTATTGTCATCCAAGACACTGTACCTATGTTGAGTGTCGAAATTACACTAAATACGTTTTCTATGAATCTTTTGCTTGTATTTAATTATATTTATACTTTAATTGATAGATTTTGTGTTTTATAGGTGCAAAACAAGAATTAGGTGTCCATGAAGGGAAAATGATCAAAAAGAAAGGCAAAAGTTGCAATTAAGGAAATAAAATCAAAGTGGAAGAATGAATCCCTCAACAACTTTGACAGTGTTTACTATTGAGATCATATCCCTCTCATCCGAACTGTATAACCTGATTTCAATAGCAATGAAAAGCTATTTCAAAGGACTATAATTCTTATCTAATAGAGTTTTCCGGAAAGCGAATTCTAACGCGATCGAAATTGGGTAACTAGTTCTGCTCGAGAGAAGATGCGGAAATTGAGTCCTACTAAATTTTTAGTACGTTCTTATCAACAAAATCCTATAAAAGCAACAATTTCCTACACCATTAAAGGGGATCGGCGAAAATTGAGCACAAAATAACAAGAGGACAGTTTACGAACAAGGCGGAGATCTGAAAAATCTCTTGCATAGTTTTCATTCTTCTTTAAATCTATGTTTTTAAATATTTTTATGATGTTTTTCGTAGAAAATATAAGAAGTTAAGTTCTAATCTAGGATTTTGTCTGAACCCTATATGGTGATTATGAACCTACTTTTCTGATATTATGCAAGTTTAATTTACTGGTTATTTCTTCTATCTGATTTTATTTAGTGCATGAATTTGGCAAATTTTATGCTGCTATGTGTTATTCTTAAACTTGAATTGATAAGTTCTTTTAATTATTAAAATTGTGATAGAAGAACATTCGAGTAGTTTTTATCGGATTGGTATGTTAATTGCATGTGATATCATAGACATACTTTGGTAACCGTTTGCGAGACTTGATAGTTAATGATTTATCATAACTGATTTGTATAGACATATGATGAGTTGTTTATGAATGATAGATTTATAATACATGCAACAACATAGTATAGGCAAACGCTCTACTTGTATGTAGAAATATTTAACCCTGCTAAATTCTAGATCACATAATCAATGTTTAATTTACCATTTTCTTTCAAAGCTACTCCATCCTCGTATTATCTTATCGCATTAGAGAATTTTTTTTTTTCAAAATTGTTTAGTACTTTAGAATACAATGAAATTTTTTCAATTTTATCATCTATCTTTTTTTTAATTAATTGAAAAATAATTAGAGGAGAAACAATTAATGGTATTTTAATAATTAGTTATGTTTTTCGATATAATTTAAATATATTTTTTGATTTTTATTACTTGTAAGCAAAATCCACAACTAAAATGAAAATGAGAGAATAAAAGATAGGGTAAATTACACCTACGTCCATGATGTTTGCAAATAACATTAAGGTTAATGTGGTTTTAGTAATTATAGCAACACTCCTGAAACAATTACCGGAGTCAAGATGTCATGTCCTAGGGATCTATATGCACTATATTTATTTTTCGCGGGACCGTTCTTCCACACACAAAAAATTATAAATCTTATATACATTAATAAAGATTTAAGAAATTTTAGGAGAGCTATGTCACTTCCTAGCTCTATGTTGTCTCCACCACCCCCTGAAACTAATACTTCGTTAGGATGTCTGACAATGTTTCAGGGGTGTCTGAAAATGTTTCGGGGGTGATTGTAATTAGCGATATTACTGGGACTTTAAAGTTATTATAGCATACACGTAAGTATAATTACCCTATATAAGCGCGAGGGTGGCACGTGCACACGCACCACTGTAACTTTAGTCTGTGGTAGTAAATAAAAAATCATATTAAACGCATGTAATTAGGTAGGAAACTGCACACCATAATGCAACTACACTTACCGAAGCATAGAAAATTACAGAATCCAAATACAAAAAAGAAAAGAAAAAACAGACAAGGTAAATAATTAATTAACAGAACCCCATCCCAATAAAATATTGAAATTAAAACGAAAAGCATTCGTCTATATATATACACAACAAAAAACAAGTAACCTCCCTCACTCTCACTCTTACTCTTCTTCCCCCACACCTCACTGCACAAAAGACACGCTGACTGTGTGAGAGAGAAAGAGAGGAAACAACTGCATACTTGGTGTCGATATATCGCCATTAATGTGGGTTCAGTAATAAAACGTGACCTTTCGCTTTTTCACGGATTTTCTCTCAGTTATCCTTCCTAGATACAGCTATTATACTACTACTACCTCTGTGTACTCTACTCTGTACCATAGCTCTCAATTTCATCTTATCTCCTTTCCATTCGCCTATTTGATTTCTAATAATATCTCTCCAATTTTATTTTTTCTGGATTTTTATATCATTGTAAAATTTGTGTGTGTGTGTGTTTGTGTGTGTGAGAGAGAGAGAGATTGGGGTTATGGAGTTGAGCCAGATGACGTTGGAGATTTTCTCCAGGCTGGAGCAGAAATGGTTGTACCAGTGTGAGGGCAAAAAAACACGTGTTCTCAGCATCGACGGCGGAGGAACAACCGCCATTGTTGCCGGAGCAGCTTTGGTTCATCTAGAGAACCAGATCCAAGCCAAAACCGGCGATTCCAACGCTAGGGTCGCCGATTTCTTCGATATTGTTGTCGGTACTGGAATCGGCGCTCTCCTCGCCGCGATGCTTGTCGCCGACGACGGCTCCGGCCGCCCTCTCTTCTCCGCCAGAGACGCCGTTAACTTCATATCGGAAAATCAGAAGGAGCTGTTCAAAGCCACACGCTCCGGCGTTTTCCCCCGGCGGTCGAGATTTTCCGGCAAGAGCATGGACGCAGTGCTGAGGAGAGCGTTCCGGGGAAACGGCGGCAAGGATCTAACCCTGAAGGACACGTGTAAGCCTCTCCTGGTGCCCTGCTTCGACTTGACCAGCTCGGCCCCGTTTGTTTTCTCCCGAGCCGACGCAACTGAGTCGGCGAGCTTCGACTTCGAGCTGTGGAAAGTCATTCGCGCCACGTCAGCCACGCCGTCGATGTTCAAGCCGTTTAAGCTAGCCTCCAGCGATGGGAAGACCTCCTGCTTGGCGGTGGACGGCGGACTTGTGATGAACAACCCAACCGCCGCCGCCGTCACTCACGTTCTCCACAACAAGCGCGATTTTCCGTCGGTAACCGGTGTTGATGATCTGCTGGTGCTCTCAATCGGTAACGGGCCGTTGAGCAGTCCGTCGGGGATGAAGCTTGGCCGGAGCGGCCACTGCTCGACGGCGTCGGTGGTCGGAATTGTTCTGGACGGCGTCTCCGAAACCGTCGATCAAATGCTGGGCAACGCCTTTTGCTGGAACCCTAACGATTACGTCAGGATTCAGGTAACTTCGATATAATCATACACAGTGTTATTCAAAAAAAGTAATTTGTTGATTGACGGCGGCGTGATTAACAACTTAACGGCGTTAATTTGCAGGGCGACAGTGCAGCGGAAAGAGCGGAGGAGGTTTTGGCGGAGAGAGGGGTGGAGTCGTTGCCGTTTGGCGGGAAGCGGTTGCTGACGGAGACTAACGGACAGAGGATCGGAGGGTTTGTGCAACGTCTTGTCGTAACGGGGAGGAGTAGCAGCCTACCACCGAGTCCGTGCAAGGAAACAGCCGTTAGTCCACTTGTTAACGGCCGTTAGCTCTTTTTATTCTTTTTCTTTTCCCATGTTTATTTAGTTTTTAATTAGTCCCATGTCAGCTTACTTTAATTTAACTGTCCTTAATTTATTATCAACTTTAACCAGTAGCCAATATATTTAATTAAATAATAAATGCTGGTGCAAGTGACGATTTAACATCTAATTGGTAGACCCTAATACTCTCTTTACTCTTACCTACCATTAAGTATTTATTGGTTTTGGAGATCTTACATCTAGGATTATATATCATAAAATTAGGTACATAATGTTAAACCTCTATAAATTAATATAGTCGTGCCTAGTAAAATCCTATTAATATAGTAAGCCTCATTTTGATTGCTAAGATAAGCCATAATTAACTAAATAGTTAGACTTATTTTGATGTTTATCCGCCAAAATTATATAATCATGATTTATTTTGCCTAATCTAGACTTATCTTGCATTCTAATGAGTTTTTGTTTTTGGACGTTTCAAGCTCCAATAAAATAACCGGCTCTCATTAGATTATTTAATCTTATCTTGGCTAATCTTATCTTGCCAACCAAATGTGGCCTAATAATATTATATTATTAAATTAATAATTTAGTAAATATACACCGAGTGGAGATTGGAAAAAAAAATTATTTAAACAAAGTTATTAATTTATTGGTCTTCTAGTGTACACATATGTGGTAAATGATAATATTTAAATATGATGCAATTACACTTAGAAAAAATTACTTGTACTATATATCAATTTATCATCTCTGGAACCAGTTGAATTATACTCATGCGGACTTAGAAAAGTTTACAAAGTGTAGGTTTACGTGTTTGTTTATGCATTTATTTGAAAATCATATTTTCTCACCTATAAGAAAGTTATCACCAAATCAAAGGGAAATTTACAGTTTTGGTCATTTAAGTTTGCACATTTATCATTTTGGTTCCTTATTTACCGTCGTCAATAAAATACACATTAATGTTGTCACATTTTAACACAATGAGCCCCTCCGTCTGTTTGACCGTCAATAAGTAACGGCCAATTGTTGAATTAGGCTGAATTTGGGATTTTTCTTTCAGAAAATTGCACAAATCCCTGCATTCTTTTAAAATATTCTAAAAACCCCTAAAATTTTATTCAACTCTAATTTAACCCAAATTTCATCATTTACTCAATTTTGACAAATGACCCCGATTTTTATCACCATCACCGCTGATCGTTGATTGCCGTTGATTTTATTTTTTTACTTTTTTTTCCGGCATTGATTTTTTATACTGTTTTAGATGACGTTCACCGACATTGGATTGTCGGTTAACAATATTGACTTTTCTTATTTTTCTTGATTTTTTTACTTTTTTTTGTGACTTGTTTTTCCAATCAACACAATATTATTATTGTATAACACAATAATGATACTATATTAATATCTAGTATTGTAATATTAAAATTAAAAACTTCTGACAAAGTTTTTATCTAAAATTTTGAGGCCAAAATACAATTAAAAAAAAATCTATAAATTCATAATTTTTTCCTCTCAATTTTTTTTTTCGTGGAACCGCGAGTGTATCCCAAATTTCTTCCCAAAAAAATATGAAGAAGATGATTAGGCATGTACGGAGTAATTTGGAAATGAGATAACCACTCTAGTACAACGGTTTTTGGGACTAACACCGGCCGTTAATTTTTATCTTTTTCTTTGTCCAAAAAATTTTCGGTCGTTCAGCTGCGTTGACTTTTTCCTTTTCTCTTTTATTTTGACTTTTTTTATGATATTATGTTTCTCGCCGATTATCAGCTTTGACTTTATTTTTAAATTATATTTTTCCCGCTACTCAACAATTTAAATAAATAAAAATAAAAATCAAGAAAAAAAATGTCAAAGTTGTTAACCCGACATTCAACATCGGTCAACAGCGGCAAAAAAAGATATCAATTGAAAAAAAAGTCAACCGAGTTAAAAAGAATGTCAACGTCGGATTCCGATTTTGAAAATATCGGGGTCATTAGTTAATTGGTTAATTGATGAAATTGGGGTTAAATCATGGTTGGATAAAATTTTAGGAGTTCTTAGAAAAGTCTGAAAGAATAAAGGAATCTTATTACAATTTTCCCGAAGGAAAACCCCCAATTCAACCGTTGACCGTTATTTCTTGACGGTCAAACAGACGGAGGGATTCAATGTGTTAAAGTGACAACATTAGTGTGTATTTTGTTGATGGCGGTAAATAAAGACCAAAAGTGAAAAACATACATACTTAGAGGACTAAAACTGTAATTATCCCCTAAACTAAATTATAACATTGGTAGGTCTAATATTGGAAAAGTGTGAAAAAATTAGTGATAATTTATTTTTATATTAGAAACTATATTTTCATGTAAATTGTTAGAAAAATGGTTCATTTGAGGGTGGAGGAAAATTAAAATATATGTTGAAGTAGTTTACACTATTGAAGAAAATTTGTATTTAGTCCTCTAAGGGATGATCTAGCGGTTAAAGCAAATAAATACCTGTTCAATAAATCAGGTTAGAATTTTATTGCCAACAGTTGTTAGGTGGAGCTTGTCACACATGGTTAACATATTGTGGTTTACATCTCTCTTATGGTTTGTAAGCCATTATGCGAGAGTGTATGTTTATTCAGTGCACCTATATAATTTTTTGCGAGTTCCTTCGTTCAAATAAATGAAGAAAAATTGTATTTAAAAGATGAAAATATTCTCAATAAATGCACCGTACTCATATTTTAAAGTTAAGAGCCACTCCAACCCGAAATATCAAAATGAAATATCAAATATTAATACTGATATTTAATAATTTATTTCATACCTGTATAAAGTAATTTACTCCAACCATAGGTAATCAATGATTGTTCATTGAATATAAATTTATATACAAAAATTATATGTTTACAATAAGTTTTTTACTCGATGTACAGTGTATACAGTTCACGAATTTAATATGCATCCGACCGCTCATGACCCAACAACCAAACCAATCTATAATTTTCCTCAATTGGGAAACAGAATCATTAACTAAAATCATAACAATTTAAGATATCTTATACCCAAAAATTCACAGCACAATTTTAAACCCATAATTAACACTAATAGGATTTCCTCAAAGTATGTTAAATTGCATATTATATAACATTCTCTTATTTTCTCTCTTTTACAGTTGTTGTAATTTTAATAGTTTTATTGGATTTTTAAAAATTCTTTTAATTTCGTTAAGGAACTTGCAGCCAATCATATATTTGTCAATCATATATGTGTACTGAGTGAACCTACACTTTCGTATAATAGCTTACAAATCGTACGAGACACGTAAACCACACTTAACTAACCATGTATGACAAGTTTCATCTAGCAATCGCTGACAAGGAGATTCACACATCGATCAATTGACACATGCTCACTTGCTCCAAATACTAGACCATCCCTACGCTTATTTATTTATTTATGTCCATGTTAGATAGGTACGATATTTTGTACGTATAAATAGGTTATTGTTGTACATAGTTGGCAATTGACAGGGACACTTATTGTTCTTTGGTATTAAATGTGTAGACCCATGGTTGTTGAGTTTTATGTCTTCTACCCTATGCTTTTGGGTTTGTGATATTTCAAAATCTCTCAACAATTTTTACATTTATTACTGGGTTTTTCTTATGTCAAATTATTTGTAATTTTCAATTAGTTCATGCGTACTAACAAAACTAGTAAAATATTTTATACTTCATCTGATCCTGAATAGATGTCGTTTTAAGTAGATTTGTTTGTCCCATATTATACATCGTTCTCTACTCTCTATGGAGCCATAAATTTTTTTCTTTCCATATTTACTCTTAATCTTTTCTCCTCTCCAACATTAACTCAATTACTATTCTTCTCTCCTATTAATTCCTACGTTTACGAGAGAATTTTGAAGAAATATACATATTCCAAAAACAATCTTTATCTTCTACGAGTAAAACAGAAAATTGATAAAAACACTATTTAAGAAAATCAGTGAAGGAATCTCTTCAACATATTTACTCTAAATGGATAGGGATAAGAAGAAAAAGGAAGATAAGAAATCTGAATATCCATTCAAGATTTCAAGAATTATGATAGGGAAAAGAAGAAAATCAAAATTATATTGTAGAAGACTAATATGCATAACAAATAATGATAGTGAAACCGCGTGAAATGGAATAAATTACGTTACTTATTCTAATTATTAAGGAAGAAAAATCAATTTGTTATGGAGAGATAGTGAAGATGGTATTTCGGCCAAACTCCTATAATTTCTCTTAACTCCTATAAACTCTTGAGCCGGCCTTGATTATTGGAAAATGAAAGTGATAAACTAGATACTCACTCTATTACTCTATTTTTTTTGAAGTGTTGTTTATAAGGTAACGGACCACTTCATCAATGAATATCTAAGAATGTAGAACAACATTACTTGACTAACTAGATGACATTAGTCAACTAATTAACTAAAACCCCTAATTGACTACGCAAACACTTATAGTCGAATATGCAAAAAAGCTTAATCGACTAAGCAAAAACTTTGTTGACTAATGAAAAAATTAGTTGATCGAGCAAGCCAATTAGTCAATTAACTAAAAACTAGTTGGTTATATCAGTCGACTTGCATTGGTTACTTTTCGGAAGCAACCAAGTGCTTGAGTGTACGGGTCAGTTCAAACTTCAAATAGAAGATGTGGGGGTATTTTGGGCAATGTAAACACTAAGGTCTTGTTTGAGTACCTATATCCAATTAATTTGAATTAGACGATGATGAATTAAATCATTATTGACTAATTAATTATTTATTTAGTAAGATGTTCGGTTCATTAGTATATATGAGCTTGTATTAAATCTGTTAAATTATGATATTGCATGTGATTTTTTTATCAAATCTCTTAGTTAACAAAATTAAGAATATGTAGCTTTAAGATAAAATAATTTTTTTCCTTATCTAGTTAATAATTCAATGAAATAATAATCTTTAATTGCGGGCTTTCACTTCAACCACGTGTATCGTGTGTAGGTGTTTTGATAAATGATAACAATTGAATTATTGTGCCCGTGTATAATTTGCTTATAATGTATATTTTTACAAGTTATGTTTAATTAATGTTTTTAATTTTTTTATTTTATTTTATTTACGATCTAACAACATATGGTTGGATTGATTTATATTATTTTGAGCTAATATTACATTATATATTTTGATTTCTGGCTGCTTGATTAAAATAGTCAACTGTCATAACTTGCTCTCTTTTGGTTAGGGTTGTTCATAGCCGGTTTTACTCACCAAACAATTTTTTTTTTTACCTATATTTTTGTATTGATAGTCAACCATCAACCAACCCATGTATAGATGTGTCGATAATAATTTATAATATACTAAAAAGTTAGTTGGTCGGGTAACATCGACCAACGTACTTTATTTATTATATATTAATTTTATTACATATTTAATAGTGATCAAACTCAAAACACATGAACCTAATTATCTAATTTATGGAGATTAACTATTATGGAGTATTGAATTCGTTCAGTTCATGATAATAGAGAAACACATAAAATTTCAATTTATTGTGTAGTATTTTGGATTTTTTATTTTATGTTGTACTATTTTAATTTTAAGATTCACATGCTAGCTGAAATATTTGAATTTATTATAATGTTGTTGAACTATTTATTTTTAATTGCAACACCAATTTGTTGTAGCCCCCTAGAAATTAAACTTTATAGCAATAAATCCAAGTTATAAGTGATATTTTTCTATAGGTCCATTATATATTTTGTGCCAAAAATACTCTTAAGAAATACAAGGAAATTATTATTTTCAAATCAAATTTTCAAAATCTCTCTCCTAAATCAAATCACGTAAAAATCTCTTTTTCAAATCAAATTATTCCAAACTCTCTCATCCGAATTAAAAATACAACAACAACAACATAAGCTTGAAAGAAATACCACCCCTGCCGCAGCACCGTCGCCAATGACTTGACATATGCAAACAAGCAACTGCATCATCTGAATGCAAACAGTAACTGCAAAATGAAAAAAAAAATATAAACATCATGCAAATGCAAACATCAAACAACAAAAAACAAATCTACTCTTCCAAATAAAAAAAATGTTCAAAAAGAGAAAACGATATGTAACATGAAATTGCAAATTGCAAAATGCAAAATGAAAATAACTAAAAAGAAAAGAAAACAAATTAATCAAAACAACACTAAACTTTTTTAATCAAAGACTAATGTGCAACATGAAATTGCAAATTGCAAACAACAAAACAGAAAAAGAGACTTACTGCCAACGAACAACATCTCACCCCAAATCCATTGACGCTACCCCTAGCTCCGCCACAAACCCTAGGGTTGTCGCCGACGTAATTAACCCAATCAATGGAGTGCAACCAGTAAAAGTCGACGAGGATGGTGGGGCCCAAGACGGAATACTGTAGGGGACGAAGCGGAAGGTGGATTCCGAACGCCCGTGAAGAGGTCATCAAATCTGGTGGGTTGCTTGCCGTAGAACCACTACTCAAGATCGGGGCGAGAATTTTCTTAATTGCCTTCCATCGTATCAAACTCCGCCCGCCGCCTTCAATCTCTCATACGCCGCTCATCTTCTTCTCCCTCCACCCTAAACTTTTCGCAGCAGTCACGTCACTTTTCTTTTTATAAGTAATGAATCACGTCATTTAATATGAGAGATTTGCTCTCTTATTTTCAGAAATAAAACAATACATTGTTTGGGGTATTTATGTATATTTACTTATCATTTTTTTTTTAATTTATATTTTTTTTTTTTTGATCAAGGAACTATAGCTATAATCATCTAATAGATTGAACCCCCATCTATATAAGTTGGGGGAGAAGGGGTTCTAGCTAATTATCCCTTGTAATATTTTGATTTTATTATTAAGATATTGTTGAACTAATTATTCAGTGTAATAATACATTATTGTTGTAATAAAATATTCAATTTTTTTTTTTTATTAGATATGTAGATGATCAATCAATCAACCCACCAACCGACCCATAAAATTGGATGTCAACCAACATCCAATTCCAATCTATCTAAGTTGAATCGATAATGGTTTTCAATATTTTACATTACTTGGTTAGTTGGGTTGGATTGGGTTGATTTAATGACCGAAAATCAACGAAACCGACCCACGGACAACTCTACTTGTGAAGGATGATGTAATCACTGCATTATTAAAAAAAAAAAAAAAAAAAAGGAGTAGACAACACATTAAAACCACCTCGAGTAACATATCGTTGCCAGTCCATGTTTACAAACATTAACTATATATTGTATGTACATCTTTTTATTATGGTTTTACTTTTTTTTCCTTAATTAATATGGGTCAAACTAGTTGACTTAATCCCTTGTTGTAAAATGCAGAAAACTCTTTTGCACAAAACCACCTGAAGACGACAAGATATATAGTACTACCCATTTGGCCCATATCTGTACGAAAATTAAATATAACGTACTACAATTATTCATGCATCTAATTTTAGCATTTGTTTTATATATTTGTTATCTATAAAGAAAGTACATACATTGGGAGGCCAGTTTGGATCGAGAGGGGTTAACTCTATTTGAATCGTGAAATAAATTATAGTTTGTTAATATACTAGGGTTGCGTGGTAAACTTGAAGTCAATTCAAGCATATTAACTTAATCTATTGTCTTTTTGATAGAAGATTCCATTTTTCTGCAAACCAAACAGAGCCTTAGTGTTTTATATTGTCTATTAGTGTGATCGTTTTATTTATATATAATTGTGTATAATCGAATTTAGTCTTGGCGGTGTGATGAGGTGGGGGTGATGTCAGCCTTCAATCTTATCGAAATCTTGGTCGGGTGTCGTTCCTGTAATACTAGGAGGGACTTCTCTGCATAGAAGCTTCAACGATCAAATCAGTATAGTGTTTGAGAATATATTTATTAAGTACAGTATTTGAGCGTATATTATGTATTTAATAGGGAAAAAAAACATTTTTTTTAAATAAATATTTGAGTGAACACCCTATTTGTATATGTGTCCTCACTTGAGAAGCAAGTTTTATGAGAGTTTTTAACCTCATTCACTATTGATCGGATTGAAAAGCTTAAATAAATTAAAATAAGGGTAAATTACCTAATGCCTCTCAAACTTTTAGTCTATACTATTCCAATAGGTATCACCCCAATCAAAGGAATAAATAATTATTAATTGGTTTCTTGGAACAAATGAAAATGATGACTGCGTGCTTGTGTTTTTTACTTTTGGAGGGATGCTTGTTTGGAAGGAGGGATGGTATTATCCATGCTTGAGAATTTTTTTTATTCATTTTACTTATCTTCATTGCATTAATATATATATAATAGTTAAAAAGCAAAATTAAAAACAAAATTAGAATGGGGTTTGTCGTTATTAATAGGCTTTTGTGTGTGTTGGTTTCTAATCAATGCTTTTCATTAAAGAGAAGGGTTCTCTTATTACTTCAATAAAGGTAATTAAAGGCTTCACATTGATAAGACCATATATTGTTTTAAAGATTGAACTAACTAAAGGCCAGGGGAACAGTCTTATAAGTAAAGACAAATTCAGTAATTAATTACCTGTTGCATGTTGGGCAAACGTCACGAGTTGATCATTAGACACATTTTTTATTTAATTATTTTATTACAAAAAAAGAAGAGTTAACTGCAAAAAATCCCCTAAACTTTGGACGTTTTTGCGCTTTATCCCCTGAACGGAAAAAAGTTGCACGGGCATACCTGAACTTGTCAAATTGTTGCACCGACGAATAAAATGTCCATTTATAGCCAAATTTCTGCCTGAATTGCACACGTGCAACTCACACGTGACAGTGGAAGGGCAATTTTGTCAATTCACAATATTTTTAGGAAAAATAAATAATAAAAGAACAAAGAAAAAGAAAAAAGAAAAAGAAAAAGAAAAAAGAAAAAAGAAAAAAAAAAAGAAAAACGGGACTGCTAACCCACCTTCTTCCTCCTCTCTTGCTGTTACTGCGGAGCAGGGGAGGGGGGATTTTGTACAGCACCACCAACACCTCCTCTGCTCCGCCGCACCACCACCACCTCTTCGCCTTCGCTGACGTCCGCCTCTTTAAAATCGCCGAGCCCGCCTCCCTCAGCCGCCGCATCGTTCAATCGTTCGAGAATGGGAAGATCTCCTTGCTGTGAGAAAGCTCACACAAACAAAGGCGCGTGGACTAGCGAGGGATGCTGGCGGTCCCTGCCCAAATCCGCCGGACTCCTCCGCTGCGGTAAGAGTTGCTGCCTCAGGCCGGACCTCCAAGACTTAAAACCATTTTTCACATACTGAACCTCTGAAAACACACACACACACACACACATCAAATAAGATAATGGCAAAGGAGTTGAAAGAAAGCTCCATGTACATAGAACCTAAGCCAACCACAGAAGCTCGCCTAGAAAACGGTGAAGAAGCAAGCAAGAACTTCGACGACGATGGCCGTGTCCGAAGAACCGGTATAGTCATATATCATATATTTGAATAATTATATTATATAGTTTAATTAATTAATTAAACTGTGAATTAATGAATAAAAAAAAAGGGACGCTGTTGACGGCGAGTGCACACATAATAACGGCGGTGATAGGGTCGGGAGTGCTGTCACTGGCTTGGGCAATAGCGCAGCTAGGTTGGGTTGTGGGCCCCGCCGTATTGTTCGCCTTCTCTGTCATAACATACTTCACCTCCACCCTCCTCGCCGACTCTTACCGCTCTCCCGGCCCTGTCCATGGCACCAGAAACTATACTTACATGGATGTTGTTTTTAATTTGGATAATTTCTTCCTTGAATTGATTGTGTTGAATTGAAATTGGATTTACTCATTCACAGATTAGCTGTAGATTGTCTTTTCTTGGGTAGCTTTTTTTTTTTTTTTTTTTTTTTCTTCCGTGGTGAAGCAGGAGGAAAAGAGGAAGAAGATGATGGGTCCAATTTCTTCATTCTTTTTCATTTTTTCATTTTTTTTTATAAAAAATTGTGTGAGTTGGCGAAATTGCCCCTCTATTTTCACGTGTGAGTTGCACGTGCACAATTCAGGCAGAAATTTGGCTATAAATAGACTTTTTTTTGGTCGCTGCAACAATTTGACAAGTTCAGGTATGCCCGTGCAACTTTTTTCCGTTCAGGGGGTAAAGCGCAAAAACGTCCAAAGTTTAGGGGATTTTTTGCAGTTAACCCAAAAAAGAAATAAGAAGAGAGGCATTATTACAAATAATGTCAATCACTACAAGAAAATAGGGAATTAGTGACATTGACAATAATTTGGTTAGTGACTATTTTTGTTGTTGTTCAATTATTTTTGAGTGTCAGTATAAAGAATTAGTGATATCCCGTTAGCGACAAGCATAGTAACTCAAAAAATCAGCATTGTGACTCAAAAAACCATCTTTTTATAGTGAATACATGATTTTGCAGCCGCTAGACCGATTTTAATAAAAATACACCCAACAACAAAATTATACACAGAAAAGTATTTAAAAAATCAATTTTTCTTTTTTCTTGAGGGGACAACAAAATTAAAGAACTAACTTGATTAAGACCAAAGTAATTCTATCCCATTACCACCAAACAAAGCATTAGAGGTACCTTTTGCCTTTGTGTAAGATTATTAATCCTATTTAATGTAAATTAATTAACACAACTTGCATGCCTTGACAATAATAACCAACAATACCAAACAAAGGAATCTCAAGGTATTATATACCTCAAAACAAAGCATGGGGAAGGTACGTGTCCACTTTTTCCTACCTAATTGGGAAAAGTAAACAATTGAACCACACACTGAAGTCTTACAAAAGTATTAAAAAGAAGTGCAAATTACGATCACCTCTAAATTATGGTCAAATTACGAAAAAAAAAATCTCTCCTATTTGGGTAATTACAATCACTCCCTAAACTATGTATTATCTTACGCAAATATCCATCCAGAGGTAAATTTATGGATGTTAAATCGGTAAACCGAACTGAAATTCGGTACGCCAACATTTCATACCGTTCACCGAATTGAATATACAATTTGGTTCGGTAAATAACCGAATTACATAAATTTTATGTAAAAATATTTTAAAGGAGGGGTGGCCGTAATTACCCAAACAAAAGGGGTTTTTTAATAATTTGGTCAAACCTCAAAACACATTTACATTTCTCCAAGCCCAATATAATCTTTTTTACTGGGGTCAACAAAACCTTTTTCGTATCAAGCGGGGCAATAATTTTCGGCATGTCCAAGTATCCCACACAAGAATAAAACAATCGGTAATGTCTCATACATAAATGCAAGCCACATCTCCGACCCGTTCGACAACATGAATATATACATACCATGCTTTAAACTCTTGGTCACGTCAACCCTCATCTTCACCCGTACGAACTGAGATAGCCTAACTGTTTGGGATTGAGAGTTTCCAAAAAATTTCCTATCTTATTGCCAATCGGGGAACTGTCGGCTAAGTTTGATGGGAAACTCGGAGATTGTGTGGACTGGGTACTCATTTTATAAATGGGTACCCGACCATGTAATGTTTTTTATTGTTCAATATTAATTTATACATTATTATTGATTTAAAATTTCACAACTCATGAGTTTGAACATAAAATGGGTTTTTTTTTTGCAAGAACTACCCTTATGTAATTTTTAATTGTCAAAAAAACCATCGTGTTAAAAGAATTAGTAAAGACCTCCCCTATGAAAGTTAGTCAAAGCCGAAAAACCCCTTAATAGCTTTTCGTGATGCCCAATCGCGGATTGTGCGGCTGGAGTAAGTTTTTGGACACGAAAAGTCAAACCTACCCTTAAACTTCAAAATTTTGATAATTATAGTTTTAACCCGGAATTTTATAAGCCCCAAATTAAAATTTTTAGAATTTTCAATCCAGTCCTTTTTTTTCGACAAAGCCCTGTTCTTCAATCTGCTCCACATCGTCACTCACTGTATGCTGCCATCTTCATTATCAAACAATGCATAAATCACAAAAAACTGAAGAAGAGAGAGAAAAGAACGTCTTCCCCAAAAATTTTCTTCGCCATTGAATCACCACCACCCCACTCCTTTCCTTCCACCATCTGCCTCCTCCGCTGCCCTTGCTGTTGACGCCCTCCATTACAGAGGCTAATTCCCCTCTCTCGTGCGCGCCCGTCCATCTCCCTCCTCAATACCACACTAAGCTACCATTCGTGGTGAAAGCTACTTTTGGCTATGGGGGTTGGTTCAATGTAGATTTAACGGGGGCAGACATTTTCCGACCAAATCGAGTCGTACAACTTCGATTCCGGTGAAATATAAGGATGGTGGTCCGGCTCGAAATAGGTTCAAACAAGGCAGGCGTTTTCTGGACCAACTAGACGGGACCACTTTGATTGCGGCGAGATGTCAGGCATTGAGCACGAAGTGCATTGGAGAAGAGGACTTTCGGACTTTAGGTTTTGCTCCAAATGTTTTGCATTTTTTTTATTCCCTTTTTTTTTCTTTTTTTAGTATTTCTTTTATAAGGGTAATTTAGTCAATTCACGTAAGTCAACAATAAATTTCGAAATAAGGGCCCGTATGCTTTGAAAAACACAACATAGGGGATTTCTTGCTAATTATTTTAATAGATGGTGTTTTTTGATAGTTAAAAATAACACAAGGTGGTCTGTGCTATCAACTCACATAAAACATATAACAAATAGGTTGCAATAAAAAAATTTATTGAAGTTGAAAAATGGAAGAACATGATATGGATGTACCAACATATATCCTTCTCAATATTATTCTTGTGTGATTTTTTTGATTGAAAACTATATAGTGGAAGTGCTGCGCTAAATAGTAAAAAGAGTAACTTATGCTTTAATGTTGCCAACTTCATATTGTGTAAAATTTTGATCAATGATTAAATTTTACCCTCGGAATAAACATGTCATGGGATGGATATAGTAAAATGAATAATTTAACAATTTCTTTTTATTTATACGCTAAAAAAATATTAATTATACAATTCTAGATGTCAATGTGTTGGCGTAATGATTTGGGTATTTGTTTAAAACAATTAAATAATTTGAATATTTGATATGTGCTTGTACGAGGTAAATTAATTAGTAACTTTTTGCGAGAGAATAATAATGTTTAATTTATAAATTTAGACACGAATGAGCCAACCATTTTATATGAGAGATGTAAACAATATTAGGTAAAATTTGTATAATAAAGTCGACCTAATTAAAAGTGTTGGCAAATAAATTCAAACTCAAGCCAAATGATCCACAACTAAATTACCCTTACGGGGTCAATAAACGTTTTAAACTTGTTTGTTGTAGGGCTGAGGTTGGGTTGGGTTGGGTTGGTTGATTAGTGTTCTAAAATTAAAAACCAATCCATCCGACAAACCAATTTTGCTCAAATTTGAAAACCATAGCAGACCCAACTTTTGTGGGTCGGTTGACGGTTGACAACTGAATATTTGGTTTTGAAATGGATCGGTTGATGGGTATACCCGCCACCTAGTTCACTTACAAAAATATTAAATTTTAGAATAAAAATATGCATATTCTTTCTAGTGTCATTGCGTCATCGTCATTTCAGCTCAAAATAATTAATAGCAATTCGACAAAAAATACAATTCCAAATTCAAATTAATTATAAACAAGCACATTATTTCACACTGTCATAATCACTCATCAATTCATAACATTTAAAAGCAATTCAAGACTTAGTGAAATGGAAAATACTGTCAAAAAAATAAAAGGGAAATAGCAAGAATTGCTTTCATGCTAATGTATGTCAATTTGTTTCCTTGTTGATTTGTTTTAATTAAAAATACAAACTATTTTGATAATTCCAATATTCACTTACAAAAATCACACCATTAATTAAGAAATTAAAATAATATTTTAATAAAATTTTATTAATATGGTCGGTTGACCGATAATTTTTGGTCAACGTACTTTTGATGATATTAAAAACCATGAACCGACCCAATATAAATGGCTCGGTCGAAATTTTCGCCCGAACCAATGAGTTGGTTAAAATTTTATTATTCGCCTGAAAATATGGTCGGTTGATGGATAAAAACCAACTCAATCACAGCTCTAGTTTGTAGTATCATTAACTCTTGTTTTGAGTTATTTTGTGAATAATTAGCTAATTTTCATCATATAGGACGATAGGGTGGATTTTAGAAAAGAAATATGGAAATTAAGTTAGTTGAAAATTAGCAAAAGTTGTTGGACAATGATGGGGTGGTAGGAAACCAATTTATTTCTTCAAACTAGAGGTGGGATTACATTATATTTAGCTAGAAATTTATGGCGAGAGCAAAAAGGATCAATTACATGGATCTTTCAATTACACCCCAAGTAAAGGGTAAGAGACATTATCCTGAATTAAGACCATACATATGTCTGAATATTAATAGCTTAATTATTTCATTGATACTTTGGTGCGGTTGAGTGTATTAATAACCAACTACCCTTTTACGGAATAGACAATCTAATACGTTTCGCCAATGCCCCATAAACAATGTGAAAATTTGAGTGAAGCATTTAATATTGAATTCATGATGAGAAACTATTCTACATCTAATATGTAGGAATGCATTGAATAAAAAAAACTATATGTATAATATATCCGTTTAAATTTAATTATGGAGATAATTGTTTTCCATGTTATTTGTTACTTTTAGAATATTTGTACTAATTACTTTTCTTCATATATTCTCTAATTATTATTCATAAATCTTATATATAAAAGGAGCTAATGGTAGGATAACCCTAAAAAATTCTAATAATATTTATAATTAGAGAAAATTAGTAGCATATTTATAATGTGAGGTAGACCTCTCTCCAAATAATGATTTGAGAAAACT